CAGTCCTCAGTTAAGTCCCCCTCCATTTGGGGGCTGCCTGGGAGTAAACTGGTTAGGGAAGTGTGTTAACCTAAGTATGGCCTCAGCTCAGTCGCAAAAACAATGCACTCCATAAAGGCTCATATAGCCTGTGAAGGACGCCGAGGGCTACCACGGGCCCTTGCCTGTCACAGAACAACTCCCCAGCATGACACAGAATGGTGTCCCTACCTAGAAGGCCAGACAGGCCACTATTCTGTTAGGCAACAGAGATGTGGCCCCTGCATTACTGTGGCTTAAGTGCACAGCTTCCTTGGGGATGCTAGAGGAACCCTGGGTATGTAAAGACATCAGGTTTGATTTCCATCATTAGAACTTTGATCAGCAAGTTATCATCTTAGAGGGTTCAAGAACTTATTTAAAAGTGGATGAGGCAGCGCTGCGGCTCACTAGGCTAATCCTCCGCCTTGCGGCGCCAGCACACCGGGTTCTAGTCCCAGTCGGGGCGCCGGATTCTGTCCCGGTTACCCCCCTTCCAGGCCAGCTCTCTGCTGTGGCCAGGGAGTGCAGTGCAGGATGGCCCAATTGCTTGGGCCCTGCACCCCATGGGGGACCAGGATAAGTACCTGGCTCCTGCCATCAGATCAGCGCCAATGGCAAAGGAAGACCTTTCTGTCTCTCTCTCACTGTCCACTCTGCCTGTCAAAAAATAAAAAAATAAAATAAAAAAAGTGGATGAGGCATAGGATAAGATCTGGTGGAAAGAGACAATAGCATATTAAGAAATAAAGCTTCAGAGTCTAGGAGATGGGTCACCGGAACATGAACACCACTGCTGCTTCAATATGCCTTCTCACTGAATCCTCACAGCACATGGGAAATCATTTTATAGCAAAATATTTCTATAATACTATTTACCATTCGGTGAGCATTTACTAAATGCTTATTTTCCTCGGATGGTCTCATTTAGTCCCTCAAGCCCTAATAGGTTTAAAGATGAAAAAGCCTTGTTAAGTGGTATATAGCTTGATTTAAGCCCAAATCTGTCTTCATTATTAGCTACTGGATGGTGGTATATTTTCACCTGCGCCTCAGGGAAGTTATGGGTTGCTGTCTATTGGCTCCCCAAATCTATATACTTTACACTCTGTAGTCACTTACAAAGGTGAGAATTGGGACCAGCGTTGGGGCACAGTGAGTTAAGCCACAGCTTGCAATGCCAGCATTTCATATGAGTGGAGGTTCAAGTCCTGGCTACTCCACTTCAGATCCAGCTCCCTGCTAATGTACCTAGAAAAGCAGCAGAAGGCCCAAGTGCTTGGGCTTCTGCCATCCACTTGGGAGACCTGGCCATTGCATCCACTTGGGGAGTAAACCAGCAGACCTAAGATCTCTTTGTCTCCCCTTCTATCTCTGAAACCCTGCCTTTCAAAAAAACTAAGAAATCTTTTCTTAAAAAAAAAAAAATGAGGCGTGGCCAGCGCCGCGGCTCACTAGGCTAATCCTCCGCCTTGGGGCGCCGGCACACCAGGTTCTAGTCCCGGTCAGGGTTCCGGATTCTGTCCTGGTTGCCCCTCTTCCAGGCCAGCTAGCTCTCTGCTGTGGCCCGGGAGTGCAGTGGAGGATGGCCCAAGTCCTTGGGCCCTGCACCCCATGGGAGACCAGGAGAAGCACCTGGCTCCTGCCACCGGATCAGCGCGGTGCACCGGCCGCAGCGGCCATTGGAGGGTGAACCAATGGCAAGAGGAAGACCTTTCTCTCTGTCTCTCTCTCTCACTGTCCACTCTGCCTGTCAAGAGAAAAAAAAAAAAAGACTCAACAACAACAAAAGAATGAGGTGTGAATTGCTCAAGGACAAGCTTATCTGTAAAGGTAGAGTCACAGAAAACATTTGAAGTATTTCATAGCCTCAGGCGTTTAGCTTAGAGGTTCGGATGCCTGTGTCCCACAGCAGAGGGCCTGGATGCCTGTGTCCCACAGCAGAGGGCCTGGGTTTCATCCTCGCTTTAGCTCCTGACTCAAGCTTCTTCCTATGCAGACCCTGGAAGTAGTAATGATGGTTTACATGATTGGGCTCCTGCCACCCACATGGGAGGCCTGGATTGCATTCCTGGGCCCCAGTTTCAGCCCTGGCTGTTGCAGGCATTCAGGGAGTAAACCAGCAGATGGGAACGCTCACTCTATCTCCATCTCCATGTCTCTTTCTCTATCTCAATCTCTATCTTTCTCTGTTTCTCTAACTCTCAAACAACAACAACAACAATAACAACAAAACCATTTCATAACTTTGTCTTCCAGGGACTCTTACATGATCTCAGGCGAGCCAAGAATCTACTTCTCACGATTCTGAGCAACCTAAATCCTAGTGAACTAAAAGAGAGCCAGAAGTTATTTGACACTGAACTTTATTTGTTTTGACCATCTGATAGACCGTCCACCCTGCTGGGAAACAGAGACAATGCCCATGCTGCAGAAGGCCTGACATGCCAAAACAAACATTGTAGCCAGGCCTCCGGGGCAGCCTGGGAGGACAGGTTTGGAGGCCGCTGGACAACTGCCAAGTCTTCTGTCTTCTCAGTTCTAAAGGGCCATTCTCCAAATGGCTGTCAGGGCGGCACTCTGGAGAGCAGAAGCTGACTTGTGGATCCAAAGTCTTGATTACAAAGAATCAGAAGTTACCTAGTTGTCTATGAGAACCTGACGGCCTTGACTGACCTTGACCAAAACACAGGGCAGCTGTGGCGAGAGGCAGTTCAGAGACAGAATTTCCCTCCGGGATTTTCACCAAACATCACACAAGGGCTGGCAAACTGATTCCTCCAGAGAAACTCGACGAAATGTGAGTGTGGTGGCACCAGAAACATTTTCCTAGGACTGTTTGTGCTACACAACCAATGCTGAGCAAGTGAGGACCTGCTCCCCAGAGACCTCCCCTTGCAGACCCCACTTGTCTGGATCTCAGGGACTGCTGCTTCCCAAAGCTGATAAAGTGAAGGAGTTTCCTGCCATCAAGCAGTCACCCCTTCCCTTTTCTCTGCTTTCTATCAGAAAGCCCCAAAGGAGCACGCAAGCTGGAGTTAAGGCCGGAGACAAGTGGAGGAAACGCTGTGACAGGTACCCAGTCTTCGTTGCTATTCCAGCTCTTGCCACCTGGGGGCGCCTGGCTCCAGAAAACCGGGCACGAGGCCCTGGCTTCGCTCCCAGGAAAGCTGAAGGCTGGGAAACCAACGCCCAGCAAGCCTGGGGGCAGCTCTGTTTCACCAGCACCTGAGGGCGGCCCAGTGCTCCACGAAGTCTCAGGTTTCGGGGAGCGGAGGGGGGGGAATGGCAGTTGCCTGTCTAAAGGCTTCTCTGTTCCTTGGAATTGGACAGAATGTCTCTTGTGGCTTTTCCTCCTCCCTCCTTTTTTCCTGTTGACTCTCCCCATCCGGCTCTATGAATCACCAGACTGCACAGGAAAGCAGCAGATGTTGACTTTACTTCTTTCAAGCCAACGTCAGCTCTCTCCTGTGGAGTAGGGGGCAGGCAAGAAGGTGGGGAGGGGGGTGGAGGTATGATAACCCTCGTCCTTTCCCAATTTGAGGGAGGGCAAAGAGGGACCCTGAAAGGTATCAGGAACCTTAGGCAAAAAAATTCTTGATTGCTGCGGCTGGGGGCAAGGGAGCCCGGACAAAGACTCCAATGTTGGCTGTGGAATGAAGATGGTTGGGAGGAGGAAAGCAGAGGGCGTGCGCGTGGCCCACGGCGGTGCCAGCCCTGCGCGTCGAGGTAAAGCCTGGACTCTGGCCAGCAGCATCCTCAGGACTGGAAAGTCACATCAGGCTGCAGGTCTGGGGAGACAGTCCGAAGGCTGCTTCTTGTCTCATCGGGGCCCCCAAACCTCTACTCTGGTGCCAGTCTCTTGAAGGAGCTGCCAGGAAGAACCTTCTAGAGCCTTATTCGACATTCATCGCTCCAACTTCTCTTTTTTCTTCCTCGGGGATTTTCTTACGGGCAAAGAAGCCAAGCTGTAGACACAGAGAAAAGAGTCCTCATCAAATGCCCCGACTGGGGACCTCGCCAGCAGCCCTCACACTTATCTGCCCTCTTCACTTTTGTTCTCCTTCCAAAAATAAATAAAAATCTATTTTATTTGGCTTAGTTGAATTCAACAAATGTTTGTGGAGTACAGCGAGGGAGATCTGGGAGTATGACACCCCCAGCCTGCTTAGCGGCCCAGCACAAATCGTGTTCTCCCTGCTATAATCAAAGATTCCTCAGCTTATGGACACCAGGCTGCAGCCTCCCCACGGAAGCAGTGCTTACCTTCCACAGGCAGAAGACAAGGAGAGCAAGCAGGAGCAGCCCTCCCAGGACACTGCCGATGAGAATCCACAGGGAGACGAGGACGGGGCGGGTCTGAATCACCTCCAGCAGGCTCTGGGGGCAGGGGGTGGTTTCACACATGTGCCCTTTAACCCAGCTGGCCTCCCCCCACTTTACAGCAAAGCCAGCCCCCAAAGAGAATAAATAACCTCTTCCTACTCAAAGGAAGGGAACCAGAGGACGGGGGGTAAAAAGAGATGAAGAGGAGATGGTAATGGGTGCAGGTGTACAGTTGGATAGGGGAAATAACCTTTACTGCTCTATGGCACAGTAGGATAACTATGCTTAATGATAAGTAATTGACTGCATCAGGGCTGGCATTGTGGCACAGAGGGTTAAACCACCACCTGCAACTCTAGCATCTCATATCAGCACTGGTTTGAGTCCTGGCTGTTCCACTTCTGATCCAGCTCCCTGCTGATGCACCTGGGAAGGCAGCAGAAGATGGCCCAGGTGCTTGGGCCCCTGCACTCATGTGGGATACAAGGGTGGAGTTACAGGCTCCTAACTTTGGCCTAGCCCAACCCTGCCCATTGTGGCCATTTAGGGAGCAAACCATTGGATGAAAGATATCTCTCTCTGTCACTCTCCCTTTGAAATAAATACATCTTTTTTTTTTTTTTTTTTTGACAGGCAGAGTGGACAGTGAGAGAGAGAGACAGAGAGAGAAAGGTCTTCCTTTTGCCATTGGTTCACCCTCCAATGGCCGCCGCTGCAGCCGGCGCACCGCGCTGATCCGATGGCAGGAGCCAGGATCCAGGTGCTTTTCCTGGTCTCCCATGGGGTGCAGGGCCCAAGCACCTGGGCCATCCTCCACTGCACTCCCTGGCCACAGCAGAGAGCTGGCCTGGAAGAGGGGCAACCGGGACAGAATCCGGCGCCCCGACCGGGACTAGAACCCGGTGTGCCGGCGCCGCAAGGTGGAGGATTAGCCTATTGAGCCACGGCGCCGGCCCATGAAATAAATACATCTTAAAAACAAAAAACAAACAAAAAAACCTGGGGCCGGCACTGTAACATAGTGGGTAAAGTCACCTCTTGCAGTGACAACATCCCACATGGGTGCCGGTTCAAGTCCTGGCTGCTCCACTTCCAATCCAGCTCCCTGCTAATGCACCTGGGAAAGCAGCAGAAGCTGGCCCAAGTGCTTGGGCCCCTGCACCCATATGGGAAACCTGGAAGAAGCTCCTGGCTCCTGACCTGTCCAGCTCCAGCCATTGTGGCCATTTGGGGAGTGAACCAGCAGATGGAAAGATGGAAGATCTCTCTCTGTCTCTTCTCTCTCTCTCTCTCTCTGTAGTGTTGCCTTTCAAATAAATAAATAAATCTTTAAAAAAAAAACCCTTATTTTCTAAAAAGAAATTGAATATTTCAAAATAGCTAGTCTAGAGGATTTTGAATGTTTCCACCACAAATAAATGACAGAGGTCTGAGGTGACAGATATGCCAATTATCCTGATCTGATAATCACGTTTTAAACATGTATCAGAATGTCACACTGTACCTCATAAATGTGTATGATTACTATGTGTCAATTAAGAATAAAAATGGGCCCTCCCGGCCACTTGGCTCCCACCCCTCCTCCACAGCGCTCCGGGACCATGGCCGACCCTCGCATGAGGCAGATCAAGATCAAGACCTGCGTGGTGAAGCGATTAGTCAAAGAAAAAGAGATGTACGAAAAAGAAGCAAAACAACAAGAAGAAAAGATTGAAAAAATGAGAGCTGAAGATGGTGAAAATTATGCCATTAAAAAGCAGGCGGAGATCCTGCAGGAGTCCCGCATGATGATCCCGGATTGCCAGCGCAGGCTGGAAGCCGCCTACACCGACCTTCAGCAGATACTAGAAAGTGAAAAAGACTTGGAAGAAGCCGAGGAATATAAGGAAGCCCGGCTAGTCCTGGACTCGGTGAAGTTGGAAGCCTGAAACCTGTCTGCGCAGGGTGCTTTTCGCGCTAAAGCCTGGGGTCCACTCTACAGTTCATTACTGACCACTGCTCTGTTCAATGTGATTGTTCTTATGCAGTTACATGTATTTTTCTTTGCCTCATTTAGTACATCAATGAGTTTATCTAATAAGCTTGTTTATTTCAGATTTTATAAATATTTTTATTAACCTGTTATCATTCAATCTCATAGATATTTTTGACAAAAATAAAATCTGTAGATTCTGTTTGAAGTCTAGCTATTTTCCTTCAGAAACATGAATTGAGTTAAAATAGGATAACCCCACCACCACCACCACCCCCTTTTTTTTTTTTTTTTTTGAGTAAAAATCTAAATCGTTCGGCTGGCACTGTGGCTCACTGGGTTAAAGCCTTGGCCTGCAGTACTAGCATCCCATGTGGGCGCCGGTTCAAGTTCCTGCTGCTCCACTTCCAATCCAGCTCCCTGCTAGTGCACCTGGGAAAGCAGTAGAAGATGGCCCAAGTGCTTGGTTTCCTGTACCCACATGGGAGACCCAGAAGAAGCTCCGGGCTCCTGGCTTGGGCCTGCCCCAGTCCTAGCTCTTGTGGCCATTTGGTGGGTGAACCAGTGAGTGGAAGATCTCTCTGTAATTCTGCCTTTCAAATAAATAAATAAATATTCAAAAACAAAAAGAATAAAAATGTATTTTGGGGGAGCAGGCAATATGGCCCAGTGGGTTAAGCCGTCACTTAGGATGCTTGTATTCCTTATCAGAGTGCTTGTCCAAGTATTTGGGCCATCCTCCACTGCTTTTCCAGGCCACAAGCAGGAAGCTGGATGAGAAGAGGAGCAGCTGAGACTTGAACCAGTGCCCACATGGGATGTCAGTGTTGCAGGTGGAGGCCTCATCTGCCACACCACAACGCTGGCCCCTGGCTCCTCCACTTCTAAAACAGCTTCCTGGTAATGCATCCTGGGAGGCACAGATGATGGTTAAGTAGTTGGATCCCTGCCACCCATGTCGGAGATCCAGATGGGGTTCTGGGCTCTGACTTTGGCCTGGTCCAGCCTTGGTTTTGCAGGCATTTGAGGAGGAAACTAGAGGACAGAAGTTCTCTCTGTGTCTCTCCGTGTCACTCTGCCTTTCTAGTATATGACTGTAAATAAACAAACATTTTAAATACTTTTTTTAAAAGAAAGAAACTGAAAGAGGAATGGATGCAGTGGAACCCTAAATGTACTGATTTATCACATTTTAAAAAATAAATATATCTTTTTATTCCCATTTTTCCACAAACCTTTAAAAGAGTTCATTTATTTTTTATTTATTTGAAAGGTAGAGAAACAGAAAAAAAAGAGAGATAAAGAGAGATTTTCTGTCTGCTGATTTACCCCTCAAATGCCAGGAACAGCCATGGCAGGGCCAGGCCAAAGCCAAGAACCAGAAACTCAACTCAGGTCTTTCACATGGGTGGCAGGGACTCAAGTACTTGAATCATCACCTGCTGCCTCCCAGGGCGCACATTAGCAGGGAGCTGCAGTGGAATGCAGGTGGGACACTGTCTCAGGTACCGCACTATGGGATATGGGCATCTCAAGCAGTGGCAGAACCCACAGTGCTACAATGCTCACCCCATCATACTTTTTAAAAAGTTGTATTTATTTTTGTTAATTTGAAAGGCAAAGCAAGAGAGAGAGAGAGATGCTCCCCAAATGCCCACAACAGCCACATCTGGGCCAGGGCAAAGCCAGGAGCCAGGAACTCCCTGTGGGTCTTCCATGTGGCTGGCAAGGACCAAGTGTTTAAGCCATCACCTGCTGTTTTCCAGAGTGCATAAAGAAGGAAGGTGGTTTGGAAGTGAAGCAGGAACTTGAACCTGGGCCTTCTGATACGGGATGTGGGCACCTCTGTGCCACAACCCCTGCCCGATTCATCATTTTTGACTCACCCATTGCTGCCTAGTGGAGAGCATGCAGATACCCCCACCCCATCATCACTGTGAGGATTTTCACAGCTCTCTGACTCCAGTCCCACCTCACTCCAACGGGAGGCTTCAGTCAGCTGCAGGACACTGCCCTCTTCAGTTCCCAGTTCAAAGGTGCTGACCACTGTCAGGGACTTGAACTTGGCCTATGGAATAAATGCATTGAAAGTCATTTAAAATGAGCCAGCATCAGGTGTGGTTCTTTGGAACCCTAAGAACAAAGTTGAGTCTGAGAGGTACAACTTCCAGGGCTCCCAAGATCAGAAGCAGAGGTTGCAGACCAACGGGAAAAGGGGAAAGGTAATAGACACAGAGCCTCTGGTCCTTCATTTTTGAGCCCTCCTTTTCATTGACGTTTAGATGTCATCCCCTCCTAACTGCCACCAAACCTGGTGTTTAATTCTCTTTCATCACTATATCAAGATCCTTGGGGTCAAGAAAGGAAAGCTACCAAAGATGGACAGAGCAAAGCAGACCTAGAGAAGGATGGTTTGCCAGACTCACCTTCCCTAAGCCATGTGCCTGTATCCCGGGGATTCTCAGTTATTCATAGTAGGCAGTATATGGGAAAGCACAATATAAACCCCTCGCGCTAGGTAGCCACTACAGTTAAGATTAATTTTTCTGCTCAGGAACTCATGCTGAATCCTGACTGCCTATCTTATTAAGTTCAATCTCATCCCCTTAGCTTCAGAGGCCTTTCATAACCTGGATCCCCTCTAAACCACACAACCTTATTTCCCATTACCCTCAATTCCAATCCTGCATACAATAGCAATTATTTATTCACTCATTTAAGATAAATATATTAGGCAATGAGTCTGGTACAGTGTTCAGTGTTGGTCACATTCTCCTGAGTATTGAGTAATAGAGGGCGTTTTATATAATAGGCACTTGAAGTAGTAGTGATTGATTAGGTATCCCATAAATATTGATTGATGGCAAATGGAGGGAAATACAAGGATAATAAATGGTTTTTACTGAGCCCTCAACATATGTCCAGCTCACTATTCTTTTATTCTTTATGACAACCTTGTGAAATAGGTATTACAAAGGTATTACGTTTCCTATTTTAGATATCAGAAAGAAGAACTCAGACAGATGAAATAACGTGTAAACAGTAAAATAGCTAGAAAGAGGCAAAAACTGAAACTGACACATGGGTCTGTCTACTTCCAAAGCCTATGCTGAAGTTCCACAGAGGAACAGAAGGGGAGAATAGGAAAAAAAAGAAAGAAAGAAAGAAAGAAAAAGAAAGGTTTACCCTCCGGAAAAATTCATTGTGTATCAGCCTCAGCAGTCCTACAGAGACCTCGGTCCCCTTTGGCAGCTGCCCAAGGCGGCACCTCACCACCTGACACCGCGTGTTGCTCTCGTTCTGGCAGAAGAGACACAGATCAGGACCCTTAGTGGAACGGCTCCCCTCCCCCACTGCAGCCCCTCCCCCTGTCACAAGGCATCTGCCTCTACTTGCAGACACACTCTGGACCCCTCTTGTGAGTCCTACCAGTCTGTCTGTGTGCTGAAGCTCCTCTGGATGCACAGGGGGTCCTGGGGCCTCGGTCAGGTTCTGTACTGTGCAGCTTGCCTGGAGGAAGATCCAGACTGAAAGACCCTCGGGATGGGTCCGAGCAGGGCCATACTACCCACACTCTCATAGCTTTTCCCTGTATAACCCCCTCTCTCAAAGGAGCTACACATATGCGTGATCCCTCCCAGGGATCCCGGAGAGCAGGGGCCAACAGGTAAGTTCCTGCTGTTGTGTCCAGCCTCAGTGTGCCCACCAGCTCAAGACGGCAGGGTTCCTGGCCCAGACTCACATTGCTAGTGATGACTTGAGACAGTGACAGGAAGTAATTGCCCCCGTGGGCCACAGCTGGCAGGAGGGCCGAGATGATGAGGCCTCTGACCACATAGCATCCAAGGTTCTGAACCTAAGAGGAAGATTGGATGTGGGAAGAGATGCGAGACAGAGACCCTTCCTCATCTGTTCCCCTTCACCATAGATACCAGGACATCTAACAGACTTTTCCCAAACGGTTCTTGCTCTACCCCTCCTCCACCTCCCCAGCACCCACACTCATGCCAGGACCCCTCCAACGTCTCACCCTAAGAGTGGTTTTGAACTCAGGGCCAGGACCCACTGGGAGGGTCCCATATGGGTGAACTTCATAGCGGTGCAGGGTGGACTCACTGCATGGACACCAAATGAGGAAGAACATGGTCATAGCCATGGCACAGATGCAGAAGCACATGATCAACACACACACATGCATTCGGGGAAGGCAGGGCCAACCCGGGGATAAAGACAGGGGCTATATGGAAAAGACAGAAAGGGAACATGCCATAGACTTGATGTAAACTTTAGGGCCACACCCCGTAAACCCTCATCCCAGCTCCAATGTCCAAGGCCCAGGAAAGTAAGATGCTTCAAAGAGAAGGTTCAGTGTGAGTGGGATCGAGGCCAAAAAGACTGAAGAGCCCCAAGGGGTTGGGTTTCTGGAAACATGGAATTAAATGAAATGAGACAGAGACGAAACATAAACGGTGTGGAGTCAGCATTGGGTCCCAGCTGGGAGCCAGGCCATACCTAGAAAACAGGAGGTGAGGCTCGTATTGAACGTAGGCTGAGGTCTGTGCTGTATTATCTTGAAGGGTCCCATTTGTCTCCAGGCTATCACTGTAGGGTCAGGGGGAGAGGCGTCCATCCCAACCCCTCCTTAGATACCCTCCTCTGTTAATAAAGGAGGCAATGCTGTCTGTCCTCCCCCACCCCCCACCCCGATCAGGACTCAACAGGAGAGGGCATGGAGGAACACCTGGTGGCAGCCAGCCTCACGATGACCTGGCTCAGGAGGGAGAAGCAGCTAAACTCAAACTCTAGCAGAAAGGTGACCTGGGGACAGAGAACATGGGCTAACACGGAACGACTCCAGAGGAACAGGCGCCTCGTGTGCCTCCCCTGCTGAACTCCCAGGACCCCAGCCCCCACTCTCCTAGAGCCCCTTTTTCCTCAGGGCCCCAACTCACCTTGGCTCGAGTCTGGAAGACAGGATGCCCCACGCTGCAGAGCCGGGCGTGAGTGGAAGGGGCTGTGCACTCCATCTTTACTGGGCTGTCCCTCTGAGGGCAGAGAAATGGGGGTGGGGGCTGGAGCCAGGGCTGCAACTGCTCTCCTATCCACACGCTCTAACCCTGGGCCTTTCCCAGACCATTTCACAGCCAACACCAAGACCCTGTCTTCCTCCTCCTCTCTCTCCACCTCCCAGCCCTACCCCACAAGGGCACCTGAGGAGTGAGACTGGTCAGGTGGAGGTTTCTAGAGAAGCTGAGGCTCAGGCTAGTGTTGTAGGCATTTTCCTTTCTGTTCTCCAGAGCGGCTGACACCACTACTTTCCGCCGGCCACCCCGAACCACAAATGGGGCCTTTCTGGGAA